AGGGAAAGGAGGGAGGGAGGGAGGAAGGAAGGAGCCATCTGAATGGGAGGGAAGAAGGAAATTAAGAGAGAACACAAGGAAAGAAAAATTTCATACAAGTTTCACAGTATGGGAATAATATAAAAACCAATTCAGTAAAATAAGAGCTAAAATATGAGATAATTTAAAAATAAAAGATGATTTTTAAGGAAAAAAATCAAAGACCCAAACAAAATCACAGAGGTAACAGATAAACTGGAAATATCTAGAAATAGAGAACACAGCTGATAACAAATTACTGACATTGGGAAAAAGCTTAGGATAATCACATTGAATGCATAGGAGAAGGACAAAGAGATAAAAGCCATTGGAAGAAACAGAAAAAATGTATGGGGACGGCGGGGGGGCAGGCAAAGAAAACACGTCAACAGTCCCAGATGCAGAGAATCCAAGAAATGAAACAAAGTATTCAAAGCATAATAAAAACCTTTTTTTCTTAAAAGAGAACAGAATGTTTTAGTCAAAATAAGCATATTTCATTTTGGAAAAAATTAACAGAATAATTAACACTGAGGCATATTCCAGATAAGTTTTTGACATGAAGGATAACATATCTGTCAAGAGCTGTGAAGAGTCTGAAATTTCACCCTACTAGCTTGCCACAGATTAATGGATGCTGATGGAAAACACAAAATTTCTGGGTCAGAGTTACAGAATTTTATTGCTCACAGCACAGTATGCAGCATGAGCATCAGAATATTTGCACTGGTTCACCTCATCTCCAAATTTCACAGGACGACATGTTGGCCCAGGTGGATGCTACACACACAGTGGGTAGGTCTGCATCTCAGACGAGGCACCCCCGGATAAGGGTCCGGGACTCCCTGATCAAGCAGCAGACAAGCCAGTGCCCCTCCTCTCTGGGGAGTGAGTACGCATTGATAGTGATGCTGTGTTCTCTATGAACTACTTAGCTGCCTACACGACTGGCTACAGAAACTGCTTGGTATTAGGGGATGGAGATGCCACATCGTCTGGCACACTTGGCAGGAACGTACAGAGATGCTCAGGCTCCTTGTTGAACTACCTCTCTCAGCAGTAGCCTCCACACATTGAGGTAGAGCAGGAAATAAAAATACATTCAGTCTCAGACTTCTCCATGGCAATGTATGATGCTAGTAGATACCAAACACTATTACGATTTTTCTCAGGGAAAGAAGATTTTTCCTAGCTTAGTTGTGGTTCATGTGCTAGGCAGTAGGTAGATCCTACAGGTGTGAAAGAACCCTGAGCTCATAGCGCCACTGAGGTGGGGGAGGGAGGACGTGACCATCCATGGAAGCCACCCATGAATGAAAATGCTGCAGGAAAGAGGTTAATACACACTCAGTGCCATGTGATGTAAAACAGTATGTACAGAGGTCGAAAACAGAGCATGTGATCCAGTAATTTCCTACCACTACAGTTGGTCTGCAGAGTATAAGGGCAATGAATAAATATCCCTTAGCATTCAGAAAATACTTCATCTCATGATTGTTCTAGAAGAAATACAATAAATTGATAATAAATCCAGCCAACCAAGTAATAAGTTAAAACAAAGATGATTGAGTCTCTATAAACTAATGCTTCAGTAAGGAAACACAGATCTTCAGTACTGACTGTGCCTTTATGGTATGTGTGCTTTCCTGATATTCACCCGGGTCCTGCTACTGCCACTATTTTCTCTCTGGTGAGAATAAGGGCATCTGTCTACCCCTTTATAACCAAAAAAAATGTTATCATGAAAAGAAAGCTTTTTCCTGCCACTACTTACTGTCTCCGTGGCAGAGCAGCGGCCCCAGTGTATAAGCTGCTTCGGAATGCGGTTGGCCTGCGTCCATCATCACAATCTGAGTGACTGGCAGGTGCTCCTTTTGGGAAAGGACTATTGTGTCACTGGCCCTAAAAAACAACAACCGAAACTCTTAAAATTATTCTCATTAACATCCAGGCAAAATTAACTCTGATCTCTTATCGCAATTTGAAACCAACATCATAGAGCTTAACAGAATACTTAACATTTTCAATATTTTGAGAGCACAGAGACTACCATGAGTCTAAATCAGGGACGGGCAAACATTTTGTATAAAGGAACATACAGTAAGCTATCTTAGCTCAGCAGGCCATGCAGCTTCTCACAGCAACTACCCAACTCTGCCACCAAAGTGTGAAAGCAGCCACAGACAGAGATAGGCATGGCTGGGCTGCAGTAAAAATTTATGGACATGAAATTTGAATTTCATATAAGTTTTATATGCCATAAAATATTCTTCTTTTTATTTTTCAACCTTTTAAAAATGTAAAGAAAATATTCTTAGCTCACTGCCATGCAAAAATAGACTAGTGGTCTGGCTTTCACCCAAAGCAAGAGGTTATCACTTCCCGACCCGTTTGCCAATTCCTGATCTAAATGATTACAGAGAATAAAGGGGACAAATCAAGAAGGGTGGTCATTTTGTAAGCATGGGATAATATTATATTAATATTTGCAAGATCATTAAGCATATAACTTCCCTTCTAAAATTGTCTTAGAATAATATCTAAACGATTATTCATTACAAATACAAATAGTAACACTGGATTTAGATGTTCATTTTGCAGAATATTAATTTATCACTTTTTTAAAGTCCTTTTATGATTGCTGGGTATTTCTTTCCTTGTTAACTTTGTAAATGGAAAATGAATCCCACAGATTCAAAACCAAATACATACAATACCCTTATAAGTAATACATGGGCTAATGAGTATGAAAGTGGTCTGTGAAACGCTGCTCCCAGTAGTTCAGGCAACAAACACAGGCTGGGCGCAGTGGCTCACGCCTGTAATCCCAATACTTTGGGAGACTGAGGTGGGCAGACTGCTTGAGCTCTGGAGTTCGAAACCAGCCTGGGCAACATAGTGAGCCCCATCTCTACAAAAAAATACAAAAATTAGCTGGGTGTGATGGTGCACACCTGTAGTCCCAG